ACGAAATTAGTTTAGTAACGAAACTCAGTTTATTTAATTAAAAAAATATCTATACGGTATGATAAATTTATAAACAGTAATTGTGACATTACAAACAATGTATTTTTAATACAAACTAGGTCAAAAGTACAGGAAGAAATATCAGATATCTAATGAAATATATTCAGTAACGCGAGATCCATTATTTTTAGAATATAACCTTGATATCAGTTTGTTTGTAAACACACAATATTCTCACAATAAAAATAAGAAACAAAAAGGAGTATGAGAAAAGTGTACTATATTGACATTTGTTCGTAAGATTTAGAAAATGTAATGTTTTGTTCAATACGCATTAATAATTTGCCTTTCATAATTAATATGATTAAACAAATCAAATGGCACGATTGCCACATACCAAAGGTTTTAGTGTAATCCAGTTAGTGTTACAATTAGTTATTTAAAATGATAGTTAAAAGGCCATGAATGACTCCCCTTAGCTTCTCTTATATTTATATTGCAATACAAATACTATGAGAATGATTTCTAACTTTATAAAAGATTATTGCTTTGCTGTAACGTTTTTGTTTCTTTTACGAGTTCTTTTAAAGTATCAGGTGAGAATAATTCAAGGCCCTGAACACTCAATGAGACGAAATCAGTATATTTCATTTAAACGTTTGTACAAGCTTAAATCATATTTAAACTGTCGTAAATCGTTTAGTCCAACGTAAAACTCAACCTACTTGTACAAAGTAGCGCGATAATTCTCTTTTATCTCAACTCAATTTCTTTGTATCCCAACTCTAGCTCGGCGTTTCACTGAACTTTATAATCTAATTTTTATTCTAGTGGTTTGTGTGACTAACATGAACTTAACGTTACATTATATCATCAAAATACACAGCTTTCTCTAGCGTACAAATATATTAAAACATCAAAAATATATCTTATGAAATTTGAATATTTTAAGGAAATTTCCATAAAGGTGCAAAAGTCATTCTACGGTGCTGGCATTAAATATTTCTTTTCTTTTGACCTAAGGTAAAATTGAAAATATAATCTGTTTCATAGAGGCCTAATATTCTTTGATTCGTCGTATGCTCTGCTGTGGAGTACAGATTCGTCTAGGTCAACAAAGAAATATTGTTAGGCGGTGTGTATACTGTTACGTCTCTGGTCGTTAGTTAATTTTCCGTAAAAATTCTTTCCGAAGAAACTTTAGCGATACAAGTCCTTTCTTAAAGAAAACTGCTTTATTCTTTCTGAATACAACTTTGCAATACACTTAATTTCCACAGTCACGCTATAACAAATGCTATAATTCACAACGAACGACTCACGTGCTCGACTCAATTCTCAGTCTCTCTCTCTGTCTACAGTTCAATTACATTAAATTGTTGCCGTCACTTCTTACCAGTCTTATATGCACAAGAATACCGCATACCAGTAAACACTCGAAACTTCACGAACCTTCGAGAATATGACGTGTTACTAGCGTCACATGACCCCCGCTGTCGTAACACTCGTC